GATCTATTTTCAATTCCGTTCTGTCATTTCAGAGAAATTTTTACGATTGCAATGTGTCGGGAATTCCGACCTTCCAGCATCGCCTTAAGGCATTTCTTAATCTTGAAACAAGAACAGAACAGATTATTTTTACCGACCTAAGATTTATTTTAACAAAAAAAAAAACAATTTTGACTTTGTATTTATTTGAATAAAAAGTAGTACCTGGTACAAAAATGGTAAAAATAATATAAAGTACAAGATAATAAAAATAATGGTCTGTATTAAAGGAATAAAAATTTGTTTTAGATAATACGTGATGGCAAAAATAGCGTTTAGATGATATGTAATGGCATTGAGCGAACACATTAATTGGTGAGTCAATTCATTCATTATACATGTATAACTGGTTTTATTATCATAATTAGAAGATTTCATTTTTATTGTCTTCTAAACAGTTATCTCATAAATATTATTCATATTATTCAAGGTTGTTTGAGGTTTCAATAATTTTCCTTTCTTTTCTACATTTATCCACAAGGATAGATGCACAAAATCATTTAAATTTCAAACAATTTTTATCACATACATCAATGCTTATAAAACTTATAAACTTATACAAATTATTTTCTCTGTTTATGTGTAATGATAATGTTTTAAATTATATCAAATTATTTTTTATGTAATACGTATACAGTGTGAAATATAAAAAAATTATGCAAACTTCTGTTTTTTTTATTAAAACATCAAATTTGAAGAATATTAAATTTTCTAATTAATATTATGTAAAAAATACATATAGGAAATTCTAAGGTTGGAAAATAACGTGTTATCATTATTTTTTTCCGATAACAATCGTTACTTTTTTCTATTTATAACGGTAACAGAAACGTCGTCACATTTTTACAGCAATAGTTACGAATTCAGTCGTTTACTTTTACGAGTATCATTACTTTATAACTCCTTAGTATTTTTATATCTTAACTCGATATTATTATTATTAAAAATTAGTAAATAAAAGGCAAATAAAAGTGCAGCACGGTACTTAGTGTGCTTAAAATTCTCAAAAATGTACGTATCATATTATTAAACAAATAATTTTACATATTTGTCGGACGTTTTGGCTGTATTTAAAGTCATTTAGAGTCATCTTTAATGAAATTGGAAGAAAAAAGATAGAGATGTTTCTACATTCTCTGGTACAGGTTGAATCATTATTCAGTTGTACATTTCCAAAACTATCACTATGATTGACAAGTCAAGTGATAGTTAACACTAGTCTATATATAACAAATAATTATTTAACCATAATTATTAAAAAAATTGAATACTAGATGTTTTCAAAAGCAGGAACTCATTATATTGGTTAGGAGGCATGAAATCACGATGGTTAGCAACACAAAAAAGTACAAGATAAAAATTCGAAATCCACAGTTATATTAATAAAAAAAATCAAAACAATATTACATTAAGTCAAACGAGTATCAGAGCATCAAAATTAAAACAAGTGTGTGTGTGTGTGTGCGTGTGTGTGTGCGTGTGTGTTGTCAATTAATCGTTCAAACTGTATAAAGATTGTTCGCGTTGATCGTATTATTCTTGATTAGATAGAGAAGTACAAATATTCTGTTTACATAGAAATTTAACTATTAAAAATGTTTTGTGTTTTTCTATCTTAAGCTGCATTCTGATAGTTGTTACTAGTACTGAAAATCTATAATATGTATGTATGTAACGCGAATATAGATTTTTAGTGGCAGTGAATACGAATGTACTCTTAATAACAATCTTAATGTTTAAAAATAATGTTTAATAAAATTTTCGATAAAATTTACGTTTGTGCACTACAATTTATATTCTTATAAATGTAGTCTTATATATATGTTTAAAAAAAAAGAAAATATCAATATAAAAAATCAGAATTATTAGATAAGTTTAATGTAAAGAAGGGCTTGCTATGTAGAAACTAATTTAGAGTTTCAAATTTTCGTATTAATTATTTGATAAGATGTCTCAAGATTTAACGGACAGACTGCAAGAGCATATTCTAAGCGGAAAAAAAGTTTATATGAAGTTTGACTAGAAATGCTTTATTACAAAGTTATAAACAAATATTGAAACAAAACATGAGATAGGAAAGATGAGATGGCTTTTCCATTGCACAGAATATGAAAGTATATTTTGTATACTGAAAAATCTAATGTGTTTATCTTATGTGTATATTCCCGTCATATTTACGATTTTTAATCGATTCAGCATTATTTTATAAATTTTGTAATAAAATTTCTAGTCAAACTTCATATAATCTTTTTTTCTTATTTTTATTTGTAGAATATCCTCCCGCAGTTTGTTCGTTAAATCCATTTTAAATTCTAATATTTTATTTTAGCATTACAAAAAACTAATAAAAAAATTATTATTATTTCCTGAGTAATGAAAACAGTATTGATATTTTTATACAGTAACGTTTTTAATGGAAAATTCTATCGCACGCAAAACATTAATCACGAACATAATTAATAAATGATAAATATTCAAGATTGAAATTACTTCTCTGACTGATAATACTCAATATAACATTAAATGAAAACGCAATCATCTACTTTCTGTTGATATTTTCATCAGAGCCTGTATTTACAATAAACAAATAAAGATTACGTTTTGATATTCATTGTCAGTGCTGAAAAATCTATACCTATAGTATACGTTTTGTGCACTATAAATTTTTAACACTCTGACAGTGAATATCGGAATGCAATTAAATTTGTCAATGAAAAAAAATGGCAAAGACTTTGGAAATTTTACCTGTTTTTTCCATCGGATTTGCCCAGTCTGCCACGTTAGCCACATCATCTTCAACGTGAGCAAAGCCGACCACCAAGCATATATAGACCACCATAGCTCGTATTTCTCGTTTATAGTCCCGTTCGCTAGCATTGTCCCTGGCGCGATCACACTGTAGACCTTATCTGCTTAACGTTCTCTCCGTGTCCACGGGGAAAGCCGGCGCGTTACTGGCTATGTACTCTTGTCTGAACACTGTGCTAGTGAGGGCTATTAGCAATTCAAATGCATGAAACGGTGATAAGTAATCTGATTCTACTTTGATGTGGATCACACACTTTTTGCAACGTCAATGAAGTATTAACTCTCAACAAACAAATGTATTGTAGGTATACTCTTGTCACGCTCTCCATTAAAATATTTAAAAATTTTAAAAAGCCAATTATAAAATATTAAGCATATTATTTAACACGTTATTTAATACGTTTTGAATTGACTTCTTAAAAATGTTTTAAATATTATTTAAGACAGTTTGACGAAATGGACCCATCAATACCTTTTTTTGTTGGAAGTTAATACTTTACTGATGTGACGTAATTCACTGCGCATGTGCGAAAAACAACTCACGTTATAAGTCCCAATACCATAGACATTGTATACTATGCATTAAACTGCTAACTTTCTTATTTCCCGTGCATAAAAATTGCCTTCACAAGTTATGTATTTACATATATACATATATGCGCGACGTAAAAAAGAAAGATAACATAATCGTTGATAATATTAATAATGTTGATATACAGTCGAAGTATCATAACATGAAAACATCAAGCATCGAGCATGCGCAATAACATGTTTTATAATTTTACTGAAATGCACTGAATTAATTAGGATGTATGTACTGCTAGTAATGGAATCTTAATTGTCGTTTACATTATATAATGTAAATAAATATAAATTTTCAGTATTACAACAGCAATGCACAACATAACCTCTCTTAGCTTACCATTAGCGTCAGAATGGTCAAGAAGTTGGAATCTAGAGATTCAGATGCGCAATAATTTTCTGCGCAGATACTCGCCGCGGTGCTCGACGCTCGACGTTTGCATGTAATTGTACCTCAATTAATATGTATAAAAGCCAATTGTAATTAAGAATCACTGAGTGAGTGCTCACTGATCTGTTTTGTTCGCAGAACTTATAAAACTCTATGGCTTTATTTGCTGAACGAGCTCAATCTAATGTGTAAGTTGAGCGGGAAGATTTAAACACAATATTAAGCATTCGTGTCGCGAGATACACATATTTTTAATTAAAGTAGTACCTATATAGATTGGTTGTAAAATATGATTTGCTATCAGTTGCAATATCTTATCAATAAAAATAGATAACTTTATTTAATAAAATTATATATGTAATAAATGAGAAATCTTGAAAAAATCTAGTTTTAAAAAGAAATTCTTAAGATTTTAAATTACAACGTTTTTCTAAGTTTTTATACAATTAAAGACACACACACACACACACACACAAACACGAAAATATTCAGAAAACAATAAAAAAAATAAGGAAAACATTTAAATTATGATTTTTCGTGAAGAAACAATTTTTTCTCAATATATTGTGTAATAATTTTTTGCTGCGACAATTTTATATATATATATATTTTTTTTATTCTATAGAACAGCGCCCAGTAAGCAAAAAATCATTATTACGATATTATAATATCATATATAATAAACAAACAATATTCAATAACAGGTAACGTTTTTAAATTTATTATATTTAACTTGTATAACATCATTATGATTATAAACAAACTTTACACTGGTTTGAAAGTTTTAATATTGTTGTTACAAATATCATATTGTACTTATGTTTTTTTTAACATTTTGGTAATGTTTCTCAAATAATATTCAATAAATGATACAATCTGATGTTCGTGTCAACATTGGTACATAATTATCGTTTCAATTATACCATGTTTTAATTATAACATGTTTTAAAAAAATTTTCAATATTATTAAAAATACTATTACCATTTAGCGTTACGACCGTAATAAAGACGGGAATCGTCAAGGTTAAAATTGTTTAAATTGTGAGATGTGCGAAATACATTTAAATGTCTTTAATCACGACTCAAATAGTACAATGTCTTTAGTCAAAAGTTTTTATATTACAAAAATCTTTAGTTTCCCGCGTTACAATAATTAATAGCGCGCGTGCGATAGAATCATTTATTACGGATGTCTCGATATTATAACAGGTTTAAGGTACTTACTCATAGGCGCATCATTTGACGCGCGCGTCACGCGTCATAATTTATAATAATCTTTCTTTGTCGGAAATAGTTTCAATTTTTGATCCTCAGGTCCTCACAAGAGAAACCTGCATGAACTTTTGAACAAAATTTTTTATTTAGCAAAAAATTTGGCGACAAATACGATGACGTTTTCGCAGTTGGATAAATTCAACTGTAAACGCGTCAAACGCGACAGTGTTGGAAGTTACTACCCAGGCAGAAATAATCGGTCCATAGACTTCGATTCGACGTTTCTAGACATTGCTTTGTTGTACAGACATTGAATCGAAGTCTATTTGTGCTTGGTATACTTAATCTATATAGTTATTTCTCAAATGACGCGTGCGTCAAATGACGCGCCTATGAGTATATAGGCACCTTTAATCACGTGGTCGATCTTAAATGAAAATGTTAGCGATGTTTTACGTGTACGTTTCACTCAGAAATTACTGTTCATTCGTACAGCCAATTTCTCGCTCGTTATCTCCGGCTATGCTAATCAATCATAATATTTTCTTTTTCTTTTGTCTTACTAAGCGTCGCGATTTCAAAGTCAACGTCTCTAACTATCCGTTGCTCGTTCGAAATATTCGTCGATTCTCTCGTTACAGTTTGTGTGCCGATCCGCGGGCATTATTTGCCTGTTGTCTTATTATAAATTACAAATTATAGTTTGTGGCATCTATAAAATGCCACAATAATACATTTCGTTTATGTTCATATCTTAGAGCCTCTGAGTCGTTAAAAAATTACTTTATTAGAACACGGAATGTAAAGAATCTTTTATAATATTGTGTCTTAATTTTATCTATCCTATATGGTTTTTTATTTATGAGAAATATTTTTCTGCCGAATTCATTTATTGGCAAAGCCGTGTACTGTTCCTGGATGAGCGATTTTAATATCAATTTGTTCAATGTTGTTTCAACAGTGCAGCAATATTAACAATTAATATAGAAAAATCAACATTGATTCGACATTGAAAAGTATTCCCACTTCAACATTATTCGCTAATATATTATATTTACGTTTAATAAACATGCTACGACAACATTATAAAAATAATTCAAATTATGTTTTCAAAATATTTAAGAAATTTTTAAAGGCTATGTTATTATAAAATATTTGTATAATATTTATATAACATAATTTACAAAATATTATGCAAAAATTATGCTCAAAAAATATATCTAATATCAACATTAAAAAAAATAAATTTAATGCTTCTTGTTTACTAAGTGAGTTTTCTTGCGAATTTGAAAATTTACATATTTATTACTTAAACAGAAATTTTGAAATGTTTATTTGCAAAATTGATATACAGATTTTACAATACATAGTATTTATGAAATATTTAACATTTGTCGTTGCTATCTGTCATTAACAATTTGCAAACTGAAATTGTTTAAATAGTCTGTATTATTATATTATTGTTTACACAGTTTTATTGTGACAATATTATACAATAAATGGATGAGTTAGTGTCGTCTTACGTACATTTATTATGAAAATCATACAACTGAATAATCTCATATGTAAATATCCATTCATATCATTATGTGCCATTTTTCTAACGAAATTTAATGGAAGTTGTCGTTTCACTTTGCAATAATTCTTTTGTCATTTTCAAAACAAGGAATAAATTTAACGTTATCATTAAAAGTTTATATATAGATTACAAACGCCATTGCGCGATATTACTTTTTTTTATGTTCGACATTCTCGATACCCAGATCAAATCGTTTCCGAGAAAAAAATCTGTGGCGACGATGTTCGTTTCTTTCCACCACTCCTCTTGAAACTTGACAGTGAGATTTCGATTAACGGAATCGGCCATCTGCCGAAGTCCACCAGATAGATTAAAGAAAATGTCTAATGGGAATGGCGTCAATTCCGCCATTACCGCCCACAATGGATTCTGACTATTCTTGCGTTTCTTTGATCCTAAAATCTCTTCATCCAAATATTCGAACAACCCTTCCACAGTTTGCTGATTGCCCCATACTTGCGTCAAAGGCGGCCACAGCCAGTCGTATTCTAAATTAAAAAGCGGAAATTGTTATAAACAATTATTAGCTAAAATGTTTGAAAGAATTATGTTAACGAATTAAACTTGCGAATCGCAAATTTATACAGGTTATGATAAAATTTATTTACCGTTTACTGTGTGCTTGTCGCCATAACAAATAATTAATCTCTTCCCGCTGGTCCAAATATCGTTTAATGTCGGCCCCAAACCTTCAATCCCTCTGTCTGGCTTCAAGATTAAGCCTTCAAATTCTCGATGTAAAATTGTTAGTAATTTTCGATGTCTGTTTGGCCTACCTTCGAAGCCCACGGGAAATCTGTTTGTTAATTCTTACATTAATTATTATTACAGATTTCGAATATATTGTGGAGCATACTTAACGTTTTTATGGTAAATAACGCTGAATGTAGCATGCAAAAATAAAAACCAGAGAAATATTTTCTATTATTTTTATACATTAATAAATGTTAGAAGCCCAATTAAAATTAATTTTGGACGAGCTATAACTTAGTTATGTAAAATAATAATTATAATTTGAATAAGACCGCCTATTAATTATATTATATATTTTAGTTTTTGCAATTTTCTTTAATATAATTTCATAACTATTTATTCGAATTTTACAGTCAATAACATGAATTCAATTTACAATGTACGTGCTCTCGTGAATTTAAAATGTACAATGCTTTAGATTCGCGGCTATATTTCGTCTGACTCACCTATGAAAGTCCATAATGACAACTTCACCCCTTGCCACATCCAGAAAGTCCCTCACATCCTTTAAGATCTCCGAAAGAGGTGTGATGCGAATGACGTCGTGGTTGACCCAGAATCTATTTATATGATTCCCGTCCTCGTCAAGTGCGGTACCATTTGGTATCGACGGATAATATCCAACTCTGATATCCAGATATCTTATACCATGTACTAACTGCGTCCAAACGTCACGATCTTGTGTCAGCAAATACCGCTGAAAGGCGTCCCGGCGCGTCAGATCGCCGTGTTTGTAACAGCCAGAATTGTGTGTCCCAGGTATCATCAGGCTGCCGATTGGAAGCATGCCGATTTCCCTTCTTTAGCAATACAGAGAAACATTGTTTGTACTAATAGCAGTCAGTTTGCTACAAAGAATTGCGTATGATTATTACTGCCCGTTAGATTTGTAGTAATAAAAAATAATTGTAATACGGAAAGAGCGATTTTGCTGAGAAATCCTAAAAGTTAATTATTAGATATCTACAGATCTGAAAATATAATAATTTTGTAAAACCATCAAAACAATTTTTTGCGACATTGCTTATTAGTACTGAACTTTCCAATATAATTTTTTTGGGTAGTCTAACAAAGTTATTTTTAGATTTATATTCAGCTAAATTTTAGGATCTTTCAGCAAAATCGTTCTTTCTGTAAAATGTTATATTTACGTTACATACATAAAAGATTACACATATATTACACATATTAAAAGCTATTTGTAATCACAGATTTGTTTACAATTCTTCGAAATTTTCTATACATTACACATTTCATTCTCATTTCACATTCTATACATTACACAGCGACATTTCTGTCGCTTGATTTGTTTGATTATTTTTGCAGCATAAAATGTTTAAGGAGCATTTTCAAAGTAAAGGGTTAAAACGAAAAGAACGATTTTGCTTGATATAAATCTGAAAATAATTCTTGTAGAATTATCAAAATAATTTTATTAATTGGAAAGTAAAATTGATTGCTATAGAATATCAAAGCGTTTTACAGTAATGCTTATCATCTTTGAGTTTCTAACAAAATTATTTTGATGGTCTAAAATTATTTTCAGATCCAAATTTTTTTATCTTCCAAATCATTCTTTCCGTGAAGGGTAAATTATTTTTTTTTAATTTAAGAGATATATTTTTATTTGAATCTTTAAACATATATGTAAATATATGTAAAAAATTATAGTACCTTAAATCATACATCCAAGTCGGCCAAATCTGCAAACAAGACATTGAAAACATGTGACCATCTTTGTAAAGGATTGCATAATAATCGAGACAATGTGATCCTGGAAGGGTCGCTCCGTCCTTCGTGTCCCATCCTCCTGGTAGCGACGGACGACCGACTGTAATATTTGTTCTATAGTATCCCCGGGGATGTTGTAAAGAAGTCAAGATCAGTTCAGGCTTGATCATTTTGTCTGGAACAAATAGGATCCGTGGTTGTACCGACAAATTTTTTGGTATCCAAAGTTCAATAGCTCTACGGAGAAAATGTGATAAGGGATGGATGCGTTCGATTTCACGACGATTCATTCTGTAAGATAAATCGGATTGGAAACGATTCAAAACTATCGAGGGATTCATTTCGAGCGGATCAATGTTTTCAAATTGAATGCGATAGGCGGAAGAGGGACTTAGCGAACAAGTTTTAACGACGGACTCAAAACGTTTCAACGCGCATAAGCTAGTGATCTGTACTAAGCAATCAATGAAACGCGAAAGCAAAATAAGCTTATATATTTTAAACTTTGTTGATAGAATTTCTGTATAAGGATAAATAAAAAGAATTTTTAATAAATTAAGATAATAATTTTATCTATAGTGATTACAAGCTATTGTCATGTCATAGCGTGTGTTTTGTAATAAATTATAACGATAAATATTATATTCTTAATACAGTAGCTAACACGTAAATAAAATAAAAGAGACGCGTTATAGTTTTTCGATTCTAACCGCTATCTTTGGCAGAATACGATACACAAGAGAATCAAACAAAATTTATTACTATGTGCTGCTAACGGGTCAGCAGTGAACACCTTGATCTGGGTATCTGAGTATCTCATGCCCGCCGGACAATCAAATTCCCAATTCACTTCTAATTCGGCATCGACCACTTTGTCGCTGGCAGCGATTGGTCTCCACAGAGAGGAAACCGTGACCCACACTTTTCCACACTGCCCCGCCAATGCTGAAAGAGAAAACAGGAAAACATATATAGGTAAATATATATAGGTAGAAAAACACAATACGAAAGAGAAGCCAATTACGTATATCTCAATCTTTATGCTAGAAAAAAATAATTATTCGCGCCTTTCAAATCACACAAGTCTATTTTACGTGTGATATGTGTTCTGCGTGTGATTTTATCAGAAAGTTATAATCTATGCTAAATGTACCCATCACACTACATGTTTTGTATTTACTAGAATATATATCATTAATCAATTATCTTTAAATTATATAATTATATATATATATATACACTGGTCCAAAATTAAACAAAAAATTAAAGGATTATCTGTTCTATCCTCTAAAAATAGGTAAATTTCAAGATAGAGCAACTTCGTTAAAAATTATCGTAACGAGATTTTTTAAAAAGCATTTTATAGCTTGAAATCTTCGTTTTCAAGTTGATATTTTAGAAAATATACGATTAACTGACTTTTTTTTGGAGTTGTATTCATATAAATGGAGATATAACAAATCGCAAAATTTT